ATTTGATGTCCAATCTCCATATAACGAGAAAGTGTAGGGCTTATCTAAATTCTTATTGGAGTTGTTTGTGAGGTTGGACCATCTCAGCTAGCAGCTTTGAAGTTGTTTTAGGTGCAGATTTTTGAGAAAACTTTAACAGTGTTGAAAGGAGGTGCAGGCTGGCATTCCTGCCACCTAGCTCCCAGCCGCCTGGCTAGCTTATGCCCCAAAATAACAACACACAAACTGTATTCATATAAACACTGCTTGGCCCATTTCTATTAATGTGTGTAGCACCATGAGGTGCACTTACCAGGAAGATTCTAGCCTACGTCCATCCTGGGTCAGAGCTTCATCGTGTCTTCCCTGGGGAGCAGTGGCATGGTGTCTGTCTGAGGCGTCTGTCTGAGGCGTCTTACCTCACTTCTCTTCCTCCCAGCATTCTGTTCTGTTTACTCCACCCACCTAACTGCTAAGCAGTTTCTTTATTAATTAACAATGACTTTCCTCCAGTATAACAGGAGCATTCTGAGTGGCTGGACTATCTGAGTTACTTGTCCTTATTTGTGTTTTGTCCTTTTTTCTGAAAGAACACAAAAATTTAAAGGTCATATATCTATCTGTATTAACACAAGTATGGAATGTATGGTATGTACAAGTTAGGTAAATATAATTTTTGTTTTATATTTGATCAGGTAAAAGGCATCTGTCAAATTTAAAAGTATGTTTGGACTGTATAGCCAAACTACTATGAAGATTCTATAGCCAATAAAATTTATTATGTCTCATCAATTCTTAGAACTGTTCTAGTACAGTCTCCTGTTGTAGAATATTAATTAAGGTGTGTTACATTTGTGTATGCTTTGAGATATTTCTTTAATGATGCAAAGATATATTGTATTCTTTCATTTTGCATTTGTTTAACTCTGTGCAGCTGTGATCTTTTGCTTGTCTAAAACACCTGATGGTCTAATAAAGACCATTAGAAAGGCCAATAGCGAGACAGGAGGAAGAATAGGCAGGGCTGGAAGACAGAAATAAATAGGAGGAGAAATCTGAGAAAAAGTGAAGGAGCAAGCAAGAGAGGAAGAAGGATGAGAGAACAAAGAGAGGAGGATGCTAGGGGACAGCACTCCCCCGCTCCGGCTACAAACCCAGACATGGAGTCGGAGTGAAAGTAAGATATATGGAAGAAAATGAAACAGGTAGATGTGAAAATTTAAGTTCCGGAAAACTGGCTCAAGCCAAGCTAATACTGGGTGTTTATAACTAAGAATAAGCCTTCCTGTCATGATTTGGGAATTAGGTGGTGTGTCCCATAAGGAGCCAAAAGAATAAAAGAGTAAAAAAAAAAACCTAACAATAGTGACTTGTCTTGTAGTTCTTTCTGGTTTATTTCTTTATGTCTCTAGTCAACATTTTCAGGGGGTTCTCCCCTGATCAAACCTGATCTCTGTTAATTTTGAAGGAATCCATAAAAGCACAACCTCTCCCACTACATAATACATTTTCTGACTTCCATTTTAAAGTTAAGACATCCCTTACATATCTAGACTCATCAATTCAGTGTCTCTCTGCAGCTGTCATTTGCCCATCAGCATTCAAAAATTCAACATCAACACAATACCTTACAGGATACAATATCCCTGTGTATTTTCCATCTTTATATGGCTTTTTTCTTTTACTTTACTCTCTCTTTAAGGATTTAAGTGTCTATACCCACTTTCTTTTCATTCCTAATTGCCTAAGCACACTTTATGCACACTATAACTTGTTTAAAGGATTTTTCAGGCTGAACCTGTCTTTAATGTGTGTCTGCTGTCTTTTCTGACTATTTGAGAAAACCTTAACTGGCCAGGCTCCACTTAGCCACTTAGCACCTGGCATTGGTGGCTCACTCTGCCACCTTCTCAGGTCCATAAGAGCCAGTCTTGTGCCAGTGGGCCTCACTGAGAACTGCATTTAACTGCCCCAGCTCTGGGATTTTTGTGCCTGTGCTATGCCAGGTATTTTTCCTAAGCACACTGTTTCTACTTAATGTGCTGGCTACTCCGGTTGATTGCTGTATCACAGAGCTCTGCCTCTGTGTGCAAAAACTACCAAGCTACTAGGAAGCCATGTCCTTTGTTTTTCTTTTCATTTTTTTCCTCTTTCCAAGGCCCTATGAGGAATATATGGGTACCACATTGGGCATCAAATGTAGTAAATTTTCTTGGACCACCAATCTCCAAATCATGACACAGAGACTTACTATTAAATATGAATGTTTGGCTTTAGCTTAGACTTGTTTCTATCTAGCTTTTTGAACTTCAATTATTAATCTATGTGTTGCCCCGAGGCTCACTTACTTCATATATGCACTGTCCATCCTGCCTCCATGCTTCCTCTGTGTCTGTCTGTCTGACTCCCCTTTCTTCTTTCCTCCTTTCTCTCTGTCCACCTATCCCTCTTCCACCTAGCTAGTGACCTTTCAGCTTTTTATTAGACCAATTAAGTGTCGTAGGCACTCAAGGTAAAACAACAGCACATCTTTACATAGTAAAAAATGCAAATTTGGTGTTCATGGTGTGACCAACTATCCTATTACAAACCTGTAGTTCATCCAGGAGCTGTCAATTACTGCAAAACACTTCTGTAATTGCCATTAGCATGTGACCGCACCTGCTGTTTTCCAAGGTCAGATAGAAAGGAATACAATGGGAAAATAGATTACCTGCGCTAGAAATTGCATATTTTACCAGAGTGAACATGCCAGTCAAGTGTTTGTGTGACTTTAAAGAATCATAAGTGGAAGGCCTGCAAGCAGGACACGAGATGAAATTCCTCCCCACAGCAGTGGAGCACAGCAGTAAAGCAGCTGGACATGGGCTCTTCCTGCCATTGTCACTGCTGTTAGCTGCTGCTCCAACACCATCACAGATTCCAAGCAGTCATGTCAAAAAAGTGGACTGTGGACATGTGGGCAAAGACCAGCGTGCCACAGACCCAAAGGAATGCCAGGACAAAAATTGACACTAATGGTTCAAAAGCAGTCGTCCAGAGTCTGCACATCCTTTGCCATTTGCTCTTTTCAGATAGGACCTCACTTGTAACCCAGGCTTGCCTAAATCTCATAGTGATCCTTCTGCCAATGCCTCCAGTCCAGAGTACAATTGTGTGCCACACATAGCTTTTGTTTATTTCACAAGTAACTTGCAGAATTAATAGAATCCGGGCAAGGTGGTGCAGGTCTTGACTTTATGATCTTGAGGGCAGCCTGGTCTGCAGAGTGAGGTCCTGTTCATCCTGGGTCTGCATAGTGAGGTCCTGTTCATCCTGGGTCTGCAGAGTGAGGTCCTGTTCATCCTGGGTCTGCAGAGTGAGGTCCTGTTCATCCTGGGTCTGCAGAGTGAGGTCCTGACAGACAAAATGAAACACTGGGAGCAGAAAGGAAATGCAAGTATTCTTAATTTGCTTCACTTGTTTTCACTAATGATGCAGAATTGAGAGAAAAATAAATCTTTAGACTCCTATTTCAAGTGGGCAGTTATAGTAAGTATAATTTAGTCATCAAAATATTAATGCTCTATAGTAAATATGGAGTGATTAATTAAAAATACTCACTTTGACCCCATAGGATTTAGATAACTAAAATCTTTTATTTAAATTTTTGGGTCTTTTCTACAGAATAATAGTTTAAGAGACTGCAGAGTTTTGGTGCATATTTTAAATCAAATTTTCTTTTACAAAAAATGAAAATCAGCACGTTTTCCACAGATGTCATTGGGTATGGCTAGCTTTGAACTTAGCAGATTTCCTTTGTCCTTTTTCAGTTTCATAACAAAACCTGACTAGTGCCCCAGGAATGAGTCCTCAGCTCCAAGAAACTGGTCAGAGATGAGGTCTGACTCAGTATGTGGATGGTGCCTGTAGAGGTTCAAAACATCACACTTCTTCCTCTAGCTGGGATGGTTGGAGCCCCTCACCCAACTCTGCAGGCTGCCATGTTGCTATAAAGTGTTTGGAGGCAGGGTTGGCCTTGCCAGAGTACAAACTTCCTCTGGTCCTACAGGGTAACATCTGAGTTCTGGTACCTTTTCCTTAGATCGCAGGTCCTTGGGAAGCCTTCATCACGGAGCCAGTCCAGATCTCCCATAGTCAGAGGTTGGGATACAGGCCTAGGAGCAAAGCAGGGATGGGAAAAGAGCAATGCAGCACTGCCTCTGCCCTGTAAGAAGGTACCTGAGTAGCTCACGTGCACAGTCCACAGGAAGGGGTGCCCTTACCTGGGGTTTAAATGTCCAGGATATGGAGGCTTTAAGACATAAGAATACGGAGGCTCTAAGAAACGAAAAAGGAAAGGACATGACTGTTTCTAGGTATGGCGGAATAAAAGGTTTATTGTAGATAAAAGGCGGAATGCAGAGAGAGGCAGGGACATCTGGGAGAGTCCAGAGGGGACTTTATCCTGATCCATGTGAGGTGCTAGGGGAGAGCAGAGAACCAGACCAAGAGGCCAGGAAGGTAAAGGGTAGATGGGGGCGGGGGGAGAGTGAGGGAGGTTACCAAAATCGTTGGATTATGTAGGGAAGGGCACCTCGGAGGAAGGTCTGGTCAGATTTTGGACTGGAGAAGTTCAGGAGAGAGGGCGGGGTATGCAAGTCTTATCCGGTAACAGGTTGGGGTAGAGGGCTGCGTGGAGAATCAGGCTGTCAGTGTCAGCTCTGATATGTTAAATAGGCTTCTCAGCAGCTGGTCCCAGGTTTGAGATCTGTGCCCAGGAGGACGAAGGGGAAGTGCCTACTAGTGCAGGGACGACTTTATAGTCCAGGCGCGTGTTCTGCTGCTATGCTAATATCTGCATGCCTGCAGGCCTGGGGCAGTTCTGTGCCTGGGTGGAAGTTACGGCTGGGAACCACTGTGCTGAGTTTCTTCACCGTAACGAGTCTCTAAGGGGGCTGCTCCTGCCACTCAAGCCACACTAGCCAATCAGGGCTCCCAAACGTACTGCTCTTCAGAATAAGGGCGGGCACTTCCGGCCCGCCGTGCAGCAGGCCCTGCTGCATCTCCCGGGCTGAGGGAGACACTCGTTCCCTGTGTAGCGCTGTGACTCGCTTTCGGGAGCTGTGGGGAGAGCGGGGCGAGCTCAGAGTCCGCCATGGTGAGCGAGGGCCGCCGCCCCACGTGAGGAAGAGCCGGTGTGGGGTCCTCCCGGGACTGTGGCAGACAACGGCTGGCCGCGCGCCCCGTGAGGTCCGCGAGTTCCCCGGGGTCTCCGCTGTCCTCTGTCGGGTCCTGCGGCCTCCGAATGACACCCGTGCGGGCTGCGGGTGCGCAGAACACAGAGGCTGAGGGTGTGTGTGGGGTGACTGTGTGCATTGTCTTTATTGATGACTAGCGCCTTGTGAGGCTTTCATTGTCTACTGGGAGGCAGACTTGCTAACTCGCAGAGCCCTGTCCCTCTAGCGTCTTCTAGAAGTTCTGCACTTGGCACTGAACATTCAGGTGTAGGATCCTTCTGCAGTTAGTTCTGTGCAGGTTGTAAAGTCTGTGTCATGAACACATCTGCATGGAGATGACAGGGTGGTCCTGTCACCTGTGTTAGGCCCCACTTACTGGGTTTCCTGACCTTATGTGTCAAAATTGACTATATTAATTATGTTTCTATGTCAAAGTTTGCTCTCATGTTCTGTTCATCTCTTTGTTCTTTTCCACGCTTAAGTCATTGTTGTGTGAGACGTTTTGAACCAGAGTGTGTTACTGAGTGTGCTATTTACTCAGTGTTGTGTTGATCAATTTTTCGTTCATGATGTCTTTTGAAAGCAGTTTTCTGTAACTGATAGGAAAAAAATCTTAGACGTTTTATTGGACTGTTGCTGAATCTATAGCTTAAATTCTGTACTGAAATAATACTTAATCTTTTTGTCTTACAATCCTTTGAATCTCTTAATTACAAATTTATAGTTTTTGCTACAGAGATTTGTTACATTTCTGGTTTATTTCTGACTTATAAGAGATATAATGATACTTTTAATTTTCTTTTATTATTTTATTTCATGTGTATGAATGCTTTGCTTGCATATGTGTATGTTGACCTCATGTGTTTGGTGTCCACAGAAGACAGCAGGAGGCATCAGATCCCCTGCAACAGCATCTAGGGATGATTGTGTGCACCATGTTAGTGCTGGGCACCAAACCCAGGACTTCTACAAGGGCAATAGTGGTGGTACCTGCTGAGTCATCTCTCCAATCCTGAACTTGACAGATTTTTTTTTTTATTTTACTTTACCTTTTTTTTAGGTTTTTATTTTTTGAGATGGGGTTTCTCTGTGTAGCTTCTGGAGCCTGACCGTAGACCAGACTGGCCTCAAACTCACAAAGATCTGCCTGCCTCTGCCTCCCAAATGTGGGATTAAAGGCGTGTGTATGCATCCATAAGTATATGCTGAAAAGCAAGTGTTAAGAGAGTTGAGATTTGCTTAACACTCTGTCATTGGTGTTTGGGATATGACTCAGTAGGTATCCAGGTTAGATTTGTTCAACTTGACACAAGCTAGAGTCACTCTGGTCTGTAGGCAAATCTGTAAGGTATATGTATTCTTGATTAGTGCTTGTTGTAATAGGGTCCATTCCATAGGGTGGTTGGTGCCACCCTGGGCAAGTGATTCCAAGTTATCTAAGGAAGCAAACTGAGCAGGCCATGATAGCAGGAGTGCGGTCAGCAGCGTTTCTCCAGGTTGTTGTGTATATGAGCTAGCAGATCTGTTCTTGGACAGATCCTCTTTGTGTGTTAGGTAGATCTGGAGACTTGTAATTACTGAAGAGACTTTTTTCCTCTGGTAATTCTCTAAGTGTGTGGCATGATTTCTCATTGTCATGGCACATTAATTCTAGAACAATTGCACCTTGAAGCTTTCAGAAAATTATTTTGAGTCAAGGTTTGTTATGTTGACATTCTTTGCCTAGATCCCTCAGTGTTTAGGCTCCCTGACAGTGACCCTGCTGTTCTCCTGACTCAACCTCTTCAATGGTTGATGAAAGGTTTGTAGGAGCACAAAGTTCTTAAAGACTCCACTTGAGTCACAGAGTAGGCTGTCCTTTATACTAGAAGGAAAATGATTTGTGTGTGAAACAGCTACTCCATTGAGATTAGAATAGAAGGAATAATTTATTGTATATACTGCAGGGGAAAAAAAGACTAGGCCATAGCTAGATTAGAGGTTGTTTAAGTCATTGACCCACAGGTGTCTCTGTTATAAAGAAGGATCTGATTGGGCAGGGTGAGTTCTGTGTACTTTCCCAGTATGCATTAATTCATACTATATAAATGAAAGGAAACCAAATTGGTATGTGATAATTTGGGGAGGTTAACTTGAGCCACTGAAATTTCCAGGTGGGAAACTCTCTCAAATTGGTAAGTGCAAACCTGGTTGACCCATTTAGTCAGGAGACAAGATTGAGACACAAGGCATTTGGCTGTGGCTTATGTTTCATCCTTCAACTCAGCAACTAACATTTTACACAGGGCAGGGTCATACACTGTCTTATAAATGTGGACTTGAGTTTGTACAGGATGATGAGTATAGATCTATTTGCATTCTTCTACCTGCACACATCCAGTTTGACCGGCACTATTTGTTGAAGATGCTGTCTTTATTCCAGGATGAATTTCTACTTCTTTATAAAACAAGAAACAAACAAACAAACAAAAAAACCCAGGTGTCTATAGGAGTGTGGGTTCATTCTGGGACATCAATTTCATTGATCATTGTTTCTGATACTATGTATGTTTTTAATTAATTTGTTAATTAATTAATTAATTTATTTTTACTATACCTCTATAGTACAACATGCAATTTGGAATAGTGAGACCTCCAGCAGTTCTTTTATGGTTCAAATTGTTTTTATTATCCTGGGCATTTTCTTTTTCCCATTCAAAGCTGAGAATTTTCCTTTCATAGTATGTAAACAATTGTGTTGGTATTTTGATGGGACTGATATTACATGTGTAGATTACTTTTAGTAAGATTGCCATTTTTGCTATGGAGATCTTTTCATCTTCTCATAACTTTTCAGTTCTTTCTACAAAGACTTGAAGTTTTATTATAAAGTCTTTCACTTGCTTAGAGTTACCCCAAGATATTTTATATAATTTGAGCAATTTTGAATGGTGTTATTTTCCTGTTTTCTTGCTCAGTTCTTTTGTCACTTGTACATATGAGAGCTGCTGATTTGCGAGGTAATTGTATATCCAGCTACTTTGCTGAATGTTTATTAGCTGTAGAAATTCTTCTGTAATTTTTTTTGGGGGGGGTCATTTACATCACCTGCAAATAAAAATACTTTCATTTCTTTTTTGTTCCATTTTATTTCCTTGATCTCATTCATTTGTCTTACTGCTCTAGTTAAGACTTCCATATCTATATTGAACAGATATGGTGTGACTGGACAGCTTTGTCTTGTTCCTGAGTTTAGGTAAATAACTTTGAGTTTCTCTTCATTTAATTTGGTGTTGAATGTAGGCCTGCTGGAAATTGCCTTTATTTTGTTTAGGTATGTTCCCTGTATCCCTCATCTCTGTAGGACTTTTATCATGAAGAGTTGTTTGATTTTTGTCAAAGGCTTTTTCTGCATCTAATGAGATGGTCTTAATTTTTTTTTCTTTCTGTTTATTTATATGGTGGTTACTTCTCTTAATTTTTGTATGCCGACCATTTCTGAATTTAGATGAAGCCTACTTGATCATGGGTGGATGATCTTTTGATCTTTTGATGTGTTCTTAGATTTGATTTGTGAGTATTTTATTGACAAGCTTTGCATCTATGTTCATAAGGGATGCTGGTCTATAATTCTCTTTCCTTGTTGGGTATTCATTTATGTGGTTTGGGTTCAGGGTAACTGTCCTCATAAAATGAATTTGGCAGTGTTCCTTCTATATCCTTGTTCTTTTCCTTCTTTTATTATTTATTTGTTTATTTATTTTGACTTTTTGAGACAGTGTTTTGCTATGCAACAGCTCTGGCTGTCAGGGAACTAGCTTTTGTTTAGTAGGCTGACTTTGAACTCTGAGATATCTACCTGCTTCTGCAAGTGCTGGGATTGAAGGCATAGCTCACCACTGCCTAGCTATTTTTCTGTTTCTATTTTGTGGAGTAATTTGAGTAGTATTGGCATTAACTCTTCTTTGAAAGTCTGGTAGAATTTTGCACTAAAATCATCTGGTCCTGGGCTTTTTTTTTTTTTTTTTTGGTTGGGAGGCTTTGATGATTGTTTTTAATTTCCTTAGGGGTTATATGTCTATTTAAGTTGTTTATCCAATCTTCATTTAATTTTAGCAAGTGATGCCTATCAAGAAAATTATCAATTTGTCTTAGATTTCCAATTTGACTGAGAAAATTTTCAAGTATGTCCTTATGATCCTCTGGGTTTCTTCAGTGTCTGTTATGTCCTGCACTGCTGATGTTAAAAGTGCATGTCATTATGTCTAGCCCCAGTGTTTAGTATGAAAGTGTCACTACCTAGAGGATGTAGCTTGGTAGGGAAGAAATGCAAGGCTACCCAGCTATTTATTGACCTTGAGGCCAACTTGGACTAGTTGAGACCTGTTTCCCCAAAACAAAAACAACTGTGGATGGTGGTGCACAAATGTAATACTAGGACTCAGGAAGCAGAGGCAGAAGAATGCAAATAAGTTCAACCTAGTGTTAGCATGTGGTTCCAGATCAATCCTGACCTTGTCCCCAACAACAAAATAATGCATGATGTCATAAACTGTGAAAAAAAGAATACAAGTGGACTTTCAAATGTGTGTAATATTTATGCCACCAAACATGGAAACCAAGGTGCAGGGGATGTAGGGGAGGGGTACCTCAGTTGCCCTAGCATATAAAAAGCTCTGTGTCCAATTGTAGCACTTCACAAAAACATATTACATGAGATAGAATCTTTCAATATAGTCCCTGATCTCCTGTATTTCCCTGTGTAGCCCATACTAGTCTGACTGCTTGAATAACAGGCATGTAACGCTTAATCAGCTTGATATATTGTTTAAAAGTCTCTTGAAGAGTTTGGGTAAAGATTGCCTAATCAAACAGAAGTAGGAACAGCAGAATGCATTTATCATCCTCTAGCCCCAGGAATTAAATCCAACATGACATAGAC